GAGAGCTGGTGTGTGGTGAGCGTTCTGGTGCACTATGGCTGCCGTCGCATCATTCAGGTGGATGCTACACATTGGTTGTGGTGGAGGGGATCCCCATTACCTGTAAAGCGCTTTGAGTGGAGTGTCCAGAAATGTAAGCTATTATTATTATTAGTAGTAGTAGTAGTAGTAGTAGTAGTATTAGTATTATTAGTATCACCCAGATAAAAAAAACATCAGTATCACTTTTATTGCTGTTAGGACATAAATGTAATAGCTCAAATCAAACACAAATCAAATAAGGAAAACCTACTGATAAAAATAAACATTATTATTCATTAAACATTAGCATACTGAAATATGTAATCTAATTTCTACTAGTTACATCCTTTTGTTATTATATTGCAGCTTAAGGGGTATCCTGTTCTTTATATCTGCTGAGTTTGTGAGGACAAATTGGGATAAATGCCAACAACACCCTTTGGCATTCTTGTTAGATTGTTAATTATACGACAGGATGTTTTGTTTTATTATTTAATTGTTGACATACTAAGCAGCTTCACTATTTACTGTTTGTTTGACTCTCTGATTTTCTATTAAAGATGTACTGTAAGTACAGTATATGACAACCCCAGTGATTGCTGTTGTTTTGGAAATGATGTTTGCTTAATGTGAATCCTTTCTGATACACATTTTTGTTTTCTGAGAAAGGAATCATAGTAAACGGTGACCATGGAGCAGAGACCCACTCGTAATAAGACATGGAGATGTTTATGTTACAACCACAGAAGCAGACTTCCTGGATTAACAAATGTATTATACAGTACATGTCACTAAGAAACTGAACTAAAACATATTTCAAGAGCTTTGGACTTACACTAACATTGATGTATTTAAAGTGTTTGTGTTACAGCTTTGGTGGCCTTGCTTAAGAAACAGTAAACTGACCATTGAGAAGCAATCAGTATTGGCTGGACCTTAGTGGCACTATACAGGACATACCGCATTGTAGCTTACACCATTTTGTATTCATCCCACCTTTATTTTTTACAATGTACATAAAGGGAAATCAGTACTTCTATGATATTTCTCATTTCATTAATGTAGACATACATTAGATACAGTATGTGTTTATGATGCAAAACATCTTATAACAGAACAGCAGATCATCATTGAGGAACAATGTTGGGACAAAAGTAAAAAAAAAACAAGAAAGGACGAAATGCCATATTTGCACACTATGATATAAAGCATCTTAAAGCAGAAGACGTAGCTGAACGCACCCCAAAAGTAAGAAAATTCTGTGAATGAGCCACTAAAAGAGCCAACTCAGAAGGCTTTTTTTCTTTTTTTCCCCTTAAGAAACAACTCTGCAGACTATGATTAGAGTGCATTAAACTCGAACTGAAACACTAAAAATCAGGAACAAAGGAGCAAGAAGGAGCAAATGACAAAACTTACACTGTCTTTCCTGTTATTCTATGTGTACAGTATGTACAGTATAATGCCTGATCAGAAGTACATAAACAAACAATTTGCACTACAGCCCGCATATTCATAGTATAATCACACATTATCTTTGGAATACATGTACATTAAATGAAGAATGAAATGTTATTGTTTAAAGTAAATTGCTGTAGCTGTAACCTGATAAAGGGGTTAGGGTTTCAAAACTGGCCAAGAAATGTTACTACCCATTCTGCAGTGACTGGTTTAAGGTGAACAAATTTCACTATATTTTGTTTGAAATGTAGAGGTAAAAATATGGAAGATAGGAAGATAAGGTGGTTTATTTTATGAGCTATTTAACAAACACATTTTGATTAAATTAATTAAACATACTTTAAAAATACAAGTCTACCACATAGAGTGTAGTCAGTGTCAATGTTACTGTATATCACTTACCAGACTGTGTGCTGTATCCTCTAAAACTAGATCATGATATTAAATTGAACCTGTGACTTTACATCTCCTTTTTTATTTTCTATAAAAAATATATCACCCCTCTCCCATTGGACTAGCACGACAAATATTTTAAGTAGAAGGACAGGGAAACAAAAAAGACACTTAAAATTGGATATTCATGGGAGGAAACATAGATAGATAGATAATGCAGATAATATAACATTTTTTTAATTTAAATGTTATTTTTTTAATGTCAAGTATATATTTGACAGTAAACACATATACTGTAGAGTATACTGTAAGCTTTATTCTCAATTTCTGTTAGTGCTCATATGGATATATTATTCAGTTGCATAGCTTGTGTATTCATTTTATGTAGCTGAAAAATAAAATTCTTTGAACTGGCACATGTTACCTTGGCTTAAGTAACTTTTGTTGTCAATAGCACAGCAGTCTCCGAATATACAGTTTTATAAACTACAACTAGTACATAAATTACTATCATGGATTACATGAGAGACTTGTGAGATTTTTCAGAATTCATTGCCTGTGATTCTGGAACAGCAACAAAATGTTACACAGGATATATTTTACTATCAATAACTATATTTTACATATGTGTAAAATAATATTTCTGTGCATACAATAAATGACTTAATGTATTTAAAAACATGGATATTTTCCTCTTCTTGTGATATGCTGTCATATTTAATAATTACAATAAAGAACATTAACTGAATACGGAACAAGTAATAGGTTTATTCCATGCTGAAAAAAAGAAGAAAGAGAACACAACGTCTCGGCCGTGGAGCCTTCTTCAGGTGTGAGAGAGACAGGGCAGTAGGCAAAGGTAAAGTAGCGGGAGAACAAAGGTTGAGAGGGAGGAGGAGTGAGAGGCGGGAGTATTCATAGTATTAACTGAATACTATGAGTTAATAGGTAATATCTTATTCATTTATAGAAATAAGTTAATAAGATGCTTTACAATGATTAAATCCAGTATTTTTTATTGCTTGAAGTCAACACCAAAACATTAGTTAAATGTTCAGACCTTTATCTAAGTATATAATGTATGTTTATTGTATGCAGTATGTTTATACACATTTTTGGTAATCTATGCCATGTCATCAGGTCTTTTATGAGGCGGCACATTTTTCAGGCTGTTTGTCTTGTAAATAAAGTCAGCAGAGTAAAACTGATCCTTACTTATTCAATCAGTTTTATTAGACTGAAAAGCTGCTGCTTTCAGTAGTAATTTTTCATAGAACACAGCACATACTGTTAAGTATTCAAGGGCATCCTATGATTCAGGCTACCTTCATCTGTCTTAAATATAATTGTGTTGTAAATATCAGACTTTAACAGCAGAGATTGCTGTTTTTACCTATGTTGCATTTATATTTGGATGCCAGAACAGCTGTGCTAAAATTGTAATTGTGTTTGATTTCTTATGGGTATTCAGCAAACACAAGGACATGGATACAGTAATAATACTGTTTCTTTATTAGCCCTATACAATTTCTTGCATTAGGATTTCATCTTTTTGCATACCCCAGCTTTTCTCCATAGAGACACTGACAGGGAGAGAAGCTTGGGGTCAGAGCGCAGGGTCAGCCATTGTACAGCGCCCCTGGAGCAGTTGGGGTGAAGGGCCTTGCTCAGGGGCCCAACAGAGTAGTATTCCTCTGCCAGCCGCAGGAGTTGAACCGGCAACCTTCCAGTCACAGGCGCAGATCCTGAGCCACAGAGCCACCGCTCCGCCCTATGTGCAGTATGTGCAGTTTGAAGAATAAGGTATTCATTTTAGAGGGAATTATAAATATCATTTTATTACTGAGATAAAATAAAAGATTAGAAACTACCAGAGCATGGGTGACCAGATTCTATAAATCTACTTTCCTAAGCTGTTTTACTTCAGAGTGATTGAAAATACACCATTTTTCTGATCTAGAAAATTAACACCATACAAACAATCAATGTGAATTGCACCCCTAATTTACTGTCTTATTTTCAGTGCTTATTTTTCATGTAAGAATTGGCACTTTTTCAATTTTTACTTACCTTTTCCTTAAGTATTGCTTAATGTGTTCTGTAAACATTTAAAATAAATCCATTAAAGCACATTGTTTTTAAGGATATTCCTTATGTGTTAAGTGCATGTTATCACATTGTTTGTCATTTTACTTCAGTTCATTTTTTATATCTGCAAGTTGAAAAGCCTTAAAGAATAAGCTTTCTGTCATGTTTCATGAACCTACATGTAATCCATTTGCTCAGATAGCAACAGAATGCAAAAGTTAAACTATTAGTATCTGTTAAAGTGAACATCAGCTGTTTCGTTTTCACCCTTGTCTTTATTTAATTATATTGAAGTAGGTCTCTTGAATGTAAGTTTCAAATCAGGTCCATGTAAAGGACAGAGTGACACATTTCATGTTGTATCTGTGCTTTCATGCTCATATTTATTTATACATAACAGATGTAACAGCTATGATTCTGAAAAATAGAAATCATATCTGGATCATCTTGCAGTTGTGTGTAAAACTATACTGTATATACATTATAATTACAGTTCACACATACAGTACACACTACCAATGACAATTCTGCAAATTCCAAGTTACAGTAAACTACGGTTTCAGGTTGACCCTTGTATTACTACAGCTGATTGCAATGTAACCTGCCTGGTGGAGACTACTGTACAGGAATCTTCAAGCTGTATACTGTATTTCTTAAATGATCTGTGCTCCTTCACCCTATTAATATTTCAAGAGAGTCATTGTTTTGCTGCAGTGTGTGCTGTAAATCTTCACCAAACACAACAGATGGTATAATACAGGCTGCTTGAGTAACAAAACGCCCAGTGGAAGATTTAAATTAAAAAGTTAAAGTACTTTGCTCTCTAAAACTATACAGTACATCCAGATTATATCTCCCAACAAATGAAACTACCTCACTAATACCTATTTATCTCCAAATAATAGGAAATAATTATAATATCTCTAAATAACCAGGAAGTGAAAAGAAAAAGTTATTCAAATAATATGCATTTTGATTTCTTCTTCTGCAGAATAAACTTTAACATATTTTAACAATCTCTTTTAAAAAGTCCTTACCTGTTCCCACACCCCAGTCCTGTCACATTACTGCTGTCGGAATCGCTTTCTTCTTCCTTGACTTCATGGCCAAAGGGCTTGACCTCCCCGGTGAACTCCACTCCAGGCATCTCACCAACAGCTTCCACGTAGAAAACTGTTCTCTGTTGCTGGCAGCTGTGGTTTCCATGCCTGCCATTGCTGGGCGATGGAAATAGAGAGCCATTCACGCCACTGACTTTCTTCTTGAAAGCACTCCTCTCGTGGCTGTGGCTCTTTATTCGAGGCTGACTGGGGCCCCAGTGCTCGAAGCTGTCCTGAGGAAGACAGCTTCCCGCGGAGCTCTGAGACGGGTGACTGAAAAGTTTCCATCGCAGCCTTAAGATGTGTTTCACATCAAACTCTTTTCTACCTGAGGCGGACATTTCCAACAGCAAGCGTAGGTACGGTTCTGCAAAGTAGACGTGCTCAACCTGCAGATATCTCAAGATATAGCATCACTGTAAAGAACAAAAAAAACAGTTAAGCAGGAAAAAAAAAGGTAATCTTACATCTTAAGGCAATACTGCCATTCAAAAACAAAGGCTATAGTATCTCAGGATTATATTTGCATGGTACCTGACAAACTCAGAAAATCCATTCACTGCTCAGCATGATACAATGTGACAAAATGGAACACATGTGGAGACAGTTCAGTCGGATGAGAGATATCAGGACTCGTGCATGAATATTGTGCACAGCCATGGATTCAGAGAAGAGAGTGACAAAGGCAAAACACCAGTCAAGTACTTGACAACTCTAGGTTGAAAAACGGGCAAACTGTTATGTGAAAACATTTAAAAAATCTGATTGGTGCCTTTAACATGCATTCAAAGATAATTAAAATGCAGCAGCACCACTCGAGATGTTTCTGCCTAGCATTATCTCTTACAGTCCGCTCCACACAGGCTCACATGCTGAAGCTATAGTGGCCACGCTGAGGCAGACGCGAAGAGCAGCTCACAAGCAATAATCAGATTAGAGCAGCCTTACTGAACAGCACGAGCAGCTGGCTTTGTCCCCTTCTGAGCAGTGGCAGAAGTGAGCAGTCACCTATAAGCTTCCTTCCTTCACCAGCCCTCCCAGACGTCTCCAGGGAGCTCGTGCTCACCGCGGCAGAACCGGCAAATAGCCTGACAGAGTCTCCAAGCAGACTCTTTTTAAATACAAATGCCAGTGCTGTCAGGGACCTCGGAGTGTGATTTCTGTTCCTCCTCCTCCCCATCCAACTGAGTGACGCATCTCTGCCTTCAAAGAGATAAGGGAGTTCAAGTCCAGTTTTCTCTCTCTCTCTTTTTTAATATTTTTTTAACCTGCTCTCTAAGCCTTAACTGCCTGTGTGCATTTTTTATTTCTGAATATGTACAGAATAACGCTCACACGAATGAGCTTTCTGTAAATTAAGTAAACACAAGCCAGTTAGTGAACTAACAGATCAAAGGAGAAAAAAAGCTGTTTGAAGGCTGTTTGGAGGCTGCTGAGGAGAAGGTTATACTGCTAGAGCAAACACCAGCCAAGACAATGCATGTGAATGAATGGATTGCTATGAGAAATCTTAAAAGAGTATTTGTTGTGAAATTTGCTACAATTTGAATTGAAGAATGATGCTTGAGGATAAATCAAACTAAAGTGTTTTAAAATAAACTAAATCATTTCCTTTTTAATGTGATATCTCATCCTACAATTAGTTTTTTTTCCAATTCCTGTGGTCTCAAATATAAATTTATTGTGATATAAAATATGAACAAAGACTTCAGGCTATATACTTATTAATTATCTATGTAAAACATTTAACAGTTGAAAGAACTATAGAGAGGCAACAGAATATTGCTGTTAAGAAGATACATTAAATTATAGGTCACACAGGTACTGCAGTGGTACCTCAGAGGACACTTATAGCATTAAAACAAGCTACACACTGTCAAAAAAGAAGGAAATCAGCATTAATTTGTTTAACTGGACTGATACAGTACATACTGCAGTTACAACTGATCATAAAATCAGGATGCATCCACTTGCAATAAAGTGATGGATAGTAAATAATTCAGCATAGTACTCACATTCAAAAATCATTATGTGAACATACTGTACAGTATATTTTCTTATAGCACCCTGGTATTTTTTTAAATTGATCATTCATGACAATAATCCATGACACACTCAAGTGAGTCCAACTGTTGCATTAGCACTAAATCACCTCATTAGTGAGAGGGGTGACTGGAGAGCGGTGAGGTGATTTGACTTGTTGAATATCAAGCCTGGAATAATCGAGGATGAAAACACAGAGAGCAACCACCTTTCTGCCATTGCCATGTTGACCATGAATTACAAACTGGAGAAACTGATGGGAATCTCCATGTGTGGCAGCCTGTGCTGGAGCTCTACTTGCACCAGCTGGTGTCCATCAGTAATAGATGACCTCTGGGATTTCTACTACTGCGCTTCCTGAAGGCTCATCCTGACCATCCTGATGCAAGAACATGCCCTTCTGCAAACTCAAAGCACTGCAGATGTACAGCTTGTAATTCTGAAGACAGCTAGGCTTGCAACGTTTACAGTAGACTGCCTGTTGATTAACCCTGTCAATGACAAATGTTAAAGAATCTATGAATGAATAATGAATCAAGAGTTTGTAAGAATTTGTAATGGTCCTGAAAATATAGTTGTGAAATTCTCACAGTTAAAAGTAATGTGATTATTATGATGCTCTTAATCTGTCACTAAACTAAATATTTAGTGATAGATTAGAATCCTGTAAAAATGTATCAGTCAATAACAACTAGGCTATCCTAAAGGTCAGCATGATACAGGTAGGTAAATTTTTGTTAGATACTCTGAGGAAAGGGTATGGATTTGACATTATAATGCAAGGATCTTGGTAATAGTGCAATATTGTTTTAGATTGTATGAATTATTAGGAAGTATGAAGGTCTGTGTATTATATATCCTTATAAAAAGAAAATTTAATAAAAACTGACTGATGAAAGACTTTCCAACTCAATATTTTATTTGTTTTTTTACAGTTTCTAATCCAGAATTGAATTGTGAACTGTAAACCTCAGCTGTCAGTAATCACAGTTGGAAAGAGGATATACAATTAGTTTATCTCTGCATAAGTATTGCTCCTAGCTTTGGTATCATATACTGTACCTTCCAAAATAGCTGCATGGTTCAAATGTTTCAAAATGACTGTTACAGTTTTGTGAGAAGAATTCTGAGCGTAAATACCCTTTAACAGCCTGCAGCCCTTACAATAGGAGCAATATGATCAATTTGATGATGCTGATACTTCTATTATAAGAAAAGCACAGACCTCATTTTTATCAAATAATCAACATTGAAGAGGTTCAGAAAA